CGGCGGGTACGCAAACACTCGGGAGCGGAGCGGGAGCACGGGAGGAGCGCAGGGGCGTGCGGACGGCACCCGAGGAGCCGCTGCAGAAGAGACAAAAAGCAGAGGTTTCACAAAAGCTCACTTTCCAGGTTTATTAAGTAAAGTTAACTGAATTGTTTTCATTTTGTGGGGATTCCTTTCCGGCTAACCCGGCGGGTCGCACAGAATCACGGTTGGACTGTGATAACCCAAATACAACTTTGGCTCGTCTCACCGCTGACACGTATGGAATGGCTGGGGTTATTACATGCTGTGTCTGCTTGAGGCAGGTACATGTACAGATCAGCACAAGTTGCGAATGGCAGTTTTACATCCTTCCAAAACAGAGCAGGGCATCCGGCAAATGCGCTGCCGTGAGGGGACAGATGAGAAAGAAATCATACAGACTTGCAAATACGTAAGAAGTTCAAGAGATGCAAGAAACCTCAAAACCAAGAAATTGGGGGGGGGGGAGAAAAAAACCCCACTGAATTTCAGACACAATGTGTTCAAACGAAAACCCAGCTGTAAGTTCAATTCCCTTCCAAGTGGGAAACATACAGTAACGCAATTAAAGAGAAACCAGGCCTCGTCCTGGGAGAGATGTGTCCAAAAACACTGATGCACAAACAGGTTCAGAGTTCTAAGCAAAATGTCCCTGGGCATTGGTGTACTTGACTCTTGGAGCCAGAGCAAAGCAATTCATTACACTTGCTGGACTGCTGGGCCTACTGCTGCGGCTCGGTGGTACAACAGCACGTAGGATATTCCAGATGTCAGAGAGAAGGCAGCACGCAAACTGGTGGTTACTGGGAGAAATGCCACGGGCCAGACCTCCCAGGGATCGCCTAGAGCAAGGACACCTAATTCTGGTAGCCTGGCCTGCACTGCACACCACGCTAGTGTAATGTTCTGCAAGGTTCTTCAGTTCTTAGCTCACTCCTTTCTCAGCCTGAGTTGTTTCTGTCTTGTGCATGAGCACAACTGGCCGTGCAAAATGATCCGAAAAACATAAGGGACAGGACCAAAGAAAACTGGCTGAACCTGGGGCTGGCTTTCAGCTCCTATTCCCAAATATCAGTTAAAGGTTGGAAATTTATCTACAAAAGAAACAATATAAATGAAATAAAAAAATGGCACCGTCCACAAAATTAAAAAAAAAAAAAGAGAAAGAGAAAAATCTTACAACACAGCCTCAAAAACCAGCGCTGCAACGAGAGCTCAGTCACAAAATGAAGGGTTCTAGCTCTTCGTACATCGGAAAAGGAAACAGAGCTAAAAAGTACTAGTCCACATTCTCTTAATAAGTTAAACTTACTTTCCCTCCCCCTGCCTACAAAAGGGGTAGAAGCAAAGGGGAAAGGAGGCTACCAAAAATTAAAAAAAAAAGGAAAAAAAAGGGAAAAAAAGAAAGGAGAGAGAAGGAGAGCGCGCGCGAGAGAGCAGTCTGTGGTCAGAGGCTCAGAGCAGGGCTGAGTTCCTTTTAAGGGTTTAAAATATGCAAAACAGTTCCTCAAAAGTCGCCTCTCGTCAACAGTTAGTTCAACGCTGTAGCCATAGAAACTCAAGTATATATTGGAGCAGAGATTCTTTCAGGCAGATCCACCGTCATCCGGAGCGCTGCTCGGCACGCGTTAATCCTCGATGATTATGGGTTCATCATTCATGGGCTGGCGTAGCTGCACTGCCTGGATGGGCCGGAGGATAATAGGCTTGTAAGGGCGTCTGGCGGCTCGCTTGGCTTCGGAGGAGGAAAGCAGCTTGCGGATTTTCCTGCGGACAGCAAGCAAGAAAGAAACCGATTACAGAGACCGGACGCTAAGGCACTGGAGGTTCCTCCATCTCTCCCAGAGAAACCAGGCCTGCACACACAGAGGCCGCTCGCTAACGGGATGGGCCGACACTGTTTATTTTGGCAATGTCTTCCCCGGGGAACTTTGGTTTTTTGATTTATAAACCCACCAGTGAAGAGGAAATTGCATTCTCTGCTCCAGAATCCTTCCCCTGCAGAGCAGAAGGCATTCTGGTTCAGCCTCACAGCACCTGGCCCTGCTGCTGGAAGCGTAACACGTGAAATAGTTCCGACAGCCAGTTTCCACGCCACTAATTCATCCTGATGTGCGCAGGCGCGGCGGTCGGACGTCCTGCAGGCAGCTTCGTGGGAATTCTCAAAGCCAAGTTACAGCCAAACCTCTTGGGCTGTGTCGGTTGTTCCCCGCCTGCTGCTCCATCTCTCGGAGCTCTCTGCCGTTCCCCAGCCCAGGCAGGGGGGCACAGCTGTCTCGTCTACGGAAACACGGCACAGCACAACCCAGCAACATCTGGGCTCCTGTGGAGCAATGCCCCAAGGCTGAGCTGCCGCAAGGGAGCTCCGTGATGGCCACGAACCGGTGCTGGAGCCCTCCCCACTACTAACAGGGTGTCTCTCCCCCTTATTTCTCCCACACTGCGTATGCCCAAGCCAGAAACGGGCAATATTCACCTCCTGCCTCCCCTAGGAGTTTCCCTGGATGCTAACAGGCTAGCAGCAAGTCTTACCAGATGCAAGAAGCTGTTTTCCATACAGAGAGAAAGTAAAAGAGAGACAACGGAGAGAGGGGACACCAAAGTTTTAAAATTAGCAAAATAAGGTAGAAACAGACAACACAGAATGATAACTCCTTTCCTTTTGTCAATACAGGCTTAGAACTAAAGCAAATAACCTAAAGGAAAAAAACCAGCAACAATGAAAAACGTAGAATGCAATTAAAATTAAGAATTCATTTCTAGAGGAAGCTGTGGTGGCCAAAGGCATACAGAGATTAGAAACAGAAGCGATAAATATTCACAAGAGTCATCTACCAGTACCAGCCTCCAGTTCAGGAACTGGGGCAACAATGGGGGTCTGAGAGACCCCTACGGGCTCCCACCTTAACGATTTTTTAACTCGCCACCAGAGACACGGCACTGCGCTAGAGGAAGGGCAGCCGCAGGGCTTTACAGCCCACAACTCCACAGCCTGTCTCCCAGAGATAACTTTTACACTGTTTGGTTACCCAACATCGTTGGGGCCAAATTTTTCATATAAAAAAACAGGAGAACAACAAAAAAAACCCCAACCAACCAACCAAACCCAAAAGGGAAAGAAGAGGAGAAAAGACAAGGCACGTTCATAGAAGAAACTGGTCAAAATACTTCCCCCTCTCCCCTAAAACTGACCCTCCCCACTGCCAGCGCTGACAAATCAGCCTCAGCTGAAGATGAATCGGCTCTGGTGAGGTTGGGTCATCTCCTCACTTGCATGTTTTTCCCCAGAGCAGAACGAGCACAGAGCTCACACGCACGGAGACACGTCCTTTGTTTGCCCAGCGTCCCCATTGCCCCGGTGTCTTCTGAAGCTGAAAGGGCACAGGGCGGGGAGCGAACGGGGTAGAAAAGGGGCACAGTGGGGAGAAAATAAGAGGTAGAATCCCGATGTGATGGTTTTTCCAAGCCTCACTTGGCTGAAGGTGATCTACGTTCAGCCAGCGGAGCTGCTTGCGGTACCCGGGCGCGCTCGGTTAGACACGCCGCCATCGCAAACGCGTCTCGCGGCGGCTCCTGCTTCCTGATCTTTTTTTCGCCGCCTCCGCTCGCATAAATTATAAAGGCCGGGTTCCCTACTGTGAGGCTTCAATTCAAAAACTCACCCCTTTCAATCGACCAACTTTTCAAACCGATCCCTCTCCCGTTTTCCAGCACCGCTCTCTCCAAAGGGGGAGGAGGGGGGGTGTAAAACTTCAGGCAAACCTACGTTCTGCGAGCGAAAGCCCGGCCTGACCCTCAGCTGGAGGACGATCCGCAGATACTGCTGCGAGACTGATCGCCAGGGCGCCAACACAAAGCTCACATTGTTTCAGAGCTCACAAACAAGCCTCACATTCTTGACGCCGGAACGCGGCAGATGGTTCAGGGAAAAGTTAGAGGTGAAGCGCCCGACAGAAAACCCGTGCCGCTCGCAATGCTGCGTCGCCCAGGCTTCCCCCCTTGTCAGCAGGCAGCCAAGCATCTCCTTTCAGCACTCGCCACTCAGCGAAGCAGCAAGGCTGCCAGACAAAGGATCCTGTTCTTTTTTTAATGGCAGAGATAAGGGCCGATGTCTATCACCGTGCTACGATTTCTGCGTCAAGAGACGTGCCGGTTGCCGCGGGACTGATCTTTCCCACATCAGTCGCGTGACGAATCCTCTCGCTGTTCCCTACAGAGCAAAGGGCAGGACCTCGCAGCAGTGCTCGGACACCCCTACCCCGGGCCTGCAGTTGTTCTCGTGGGCTGGACGACAGAGACGTCAAGCGGTGTTTTGTAGGTGCGGGATTACAAAATAAGCCTTGAGCATCGCTGAATCGGAGACCGTATGCCCTGCATCCACAATGGCACCTGAATCTGCCGGAGCTGCGGGTCTGTAACAGGATCCTGGGGCCTCTTTACCACAGCAACGTGACAACAGGAATAAGGAAACTGCTTGCCCTTAAATACTTCTCTCACTTTAGTTTCACTTATATTCAGGATCCCACTGCTTACCGTCACAGCGTCTCACAGGAACAGAACAGGAGAAGGAACGACAAAGTACAGATATGAGCTGGTGTGAAATGCACGGTTGCATTACAGGTGCCCATAGGAACAAGTCTAACAAGGAAATAAAGATCACGTTTCGCCTGTGTTCTAACAGGAGGGGTTTCCTGCACCAAAATCTGACGATCCGATAGATCGGGGTTAGCAACTTGAATGTTACCGGCCTCGGCTTCCCGATGAAGCCCATCTGGGATACCAGGCGCACAGAACAGCCACTTGAAATGCGTTGCAGGCTGAGGAGGAGGGCTGGGGATGTCAGGGCTCTGACTGTGCGCGTCATGCTGAACAAACAAATACTCGGAGTAGCACCAAACATCGTAGTACCAGAAGAGATGACGTACTCAAAACTCCTGACCTCCCCGGTCCCTTGCAAAGGCTCAGACACCCAGTAATTCCCATGTCCATCTCTGCAAAGGGAAAGGTAAGTGCTTCTCTGCCTGCGGGGGCACTGATACTGGAAGTGTTGGTCACTCCAGGCTTCAGAGACCAACAAAAGCCAGACAGCACCTCTGCTTGCAGGGAGGGCTGAAATTCAGGGCTGCGGCTTTGCTCTGACCTTCCACGAGGGTGCCCAGGAGAGAGGCACCAAGTCCTTGGAAGGAAAGGACACAAGCCTATGTCCCTATCTTTCTCACCACACTCGGGAGCAGTCGTCCCTTCCTGGGAATATCACGATATCGGGAACACGTGCAGAAAAGCTTTGCTTTAGTGATCAGGTCACATAGTGGCTGATGGGTTTTAGGCCAGTCAGTTTTAGGGTGAAACTCAGGCAAGAAAAGGTGCTTTCCCTATTTTTATCCCTCAGGCAGCCTGGCAAGAAGGACTAGCAGAAGCATTACCACCAAAGGAGGAGGGTGGACACTGCAGGGCTAAATCTCACCGCTACTGGTAGCCAATATAAACCTCCAAAGAAATGAGGCAACTCAGCTCCCCGAAACTTGAAGGTTTCGGTACTCAAGACACAGGAGGAGATATTCTGAGGTAATACAAGACATGTCCTTCAGCATGCAAGAGGCTCTGTTCCTCAGCATCACCCATGCGCCAGAAGGCCCCTGTCCTGCTGCCGAGACTGCGGCGGGACCTCCACAGGCATTAATGGGTCTAAACCAGACGAACTCCCTGCCTCAGTCTTCCTCCTTACTGCCCATCTCTTACCGGAAGAAGAATCTGCTTTCTCTGGAATGCCAGAGCACAATTAGGTGTATCACAGCCTTTATCCACCTCAGCAGCAGTCTCTGCATTCAGTCCATAGCAACAGATGTGCCGAAGAGATCCCCGTCTAACCACGAAATCAGCTGCAGCACCCACAAGGAACACAAACCAAAAGGCCTCCCCTTAAATCCTCCGAAAGACCAAGTTTCCTACCTGGTTTCTTCAGTGGCCATGTAAAAAACATCGTCCGGGGCATCAATCCAGTTCATCCTCCTCCTTTTCACTGGAGGCATGGATCCACCACGAATTAATCGGACTTTTGTTGGGTATGATTTCCCATTGAGCAGCAAGTTTCGGCTTGGTCCCTAACGCGACACATAAAAAAGTGTAATTAGGGACTGCAACAAACCTGTGGCAGCATGTGATAAGCACTGAAAGGAAGAGAGAACTAGTTTTCGTGTCGGTTGTTGAGAGTTTATGGTAAATATTTCCCCTCTTGCCCATGACTGAACACAGAATTCACGTAAAAGCAGTTGTCCACAAGCAGAAGAAGTCAGGCACCTTCAGTATACAATAGGACAGCGATACTCCAGCGACAGGACAGATAATAAATGGAAGGCATTACCAATAACCTCTTGCTTGTGTCTGAAAGACGACATCAAGTTTGAAAGACAGAGCATAAGACTTAGATTTCAGCTACTGCCATAGCTCTAGAGCAACTCTATTGATTTCAGGGAAGGAAATCTAGCTACACAGCAAATCAAACACAACAATCAGAATTTATAGTTATTCCAGCGTACCAAAAACTTACCCATATCCTTTTTGTTCTAGGAAGGTTAATATTTAATGATGCATTTAATGTGCCGTTGAAAACAAATCTAGAACTACAAAGCTTAGCAGCTTTTCATCGTAAAATCCTTTCGGCATTTAACACCACAGATTGCCCACACGCAACACACTTGGCAAATCAACGCAGGCACAATTCTGCAGACCCACAGCAGCCCCCTTCCGCTCAACTGGAGAAACATGAGCTGTTATTAAGAGGTGCAGATGCAAGGGAAGCGAAGGATTAAGCTTCTCGAACGCGGCTGTCCTTGATAATTTGAAGTCCAGTTCTGCTGCCCCTCTTCCTGCTGCTTAGCACATTGAGAAATCCCAACGAAATCAGTAACATGGGACGAGTCGGGAAGATGCAAAATAAGGGCCCCCAAAATTTGGTATGGATAAATTAAAGCTGGTCAGAAAACAGTCCGGTACAACTTTAATTCTGGGATTTCATGGGCCATCCCCCGAGGTCAGACCATCTCCTCTGGTACACCAAAGCTTCCCCCCTTCTGCCCCCAAAATGGGAAACTGAGCGTGTACATGAGGGATGCCCGGCCTGGGAGAGCCACCTCAAAAGGAAAAGTGAGGACATGAGGTACTCACATCCTTAAGCGTCAGGTTACGGCAAATGCTCAACCGAATTTTAACACTTTGACTCAGAAAGGGAAGGCTTCAGTCTGCCAACCAAGAAAAAAACACACCAGAACCCTGTGTCTATCTCATCTTTAACTAAGGAGAAAAACCCAACGATCGATGACCTCTTTTTCTTGACCAGCCTTAATCGACCGTCCTAGCAAGATCTGCTTCTTGTAGAAAATCAGGGCTTTACAGCTAACCAAACAAAATCCCACCTTTTAAAATCCTAAGCTCTCGAAAGCTGCAATATCCAAGTGCAATAACGATTTAATTTCTCAGTTGCCCAGCTCCATGTTATACAAGACAACTTCGGCACCACAGCAGACCACCGAAACACTTCGAGAATTGCTTTTGTATTTCAGGTTTATTAAGGAAAAGGTTTCAAATAAAAAGCTTTTCTGTTGGGTTTTTTTTCCTACCCCTCCAGATTTCTCCAAGAAATTAGGGTCATGAAGGATATTTTCTCCGCACGTGCAACATAAACAGGAGAACAACTCCGGAAGAAGAACTTGGAAACACCTAGAAGGGGCAGCCCTGTGCTTCGAGGTTGCCTTTTCTCCACCCGCACAGAGCAAGCTGTTTCAAATGGTACAACCTGAAACGTGGACCTTGAATTTTCAGTTCAGCATCACACTTCTTCAAGCAACCAGAACTCAAGGCAGTTCGGGGGTTTTACCCTAAAACACCTACGTTGGGTCATCATAGGTTTCTCCCACTGCACTGAGTTGGTTTATACAGCAGACACAAACAAGTAGCCAGTCTCCTCAGCGACAAGGAACAAAGCTGAATTCCTGGAGGAATACGATTTACCACTTGGGATCAGATGCTCAAGTAACAAACCGAAGGAGTGCTTCGTTACTACAAGCAGACCGGCGTTACAGCCTACCCTGATGACGCTACGCCCCGTCCGAGAACGTGACTAGCTTTGGGAATGCCGGCGGTCACCAGCCGGCGACCATCGGTCACGCCTGACCCACGGCAGAGCGACCGCCGACCCTCGCGCGGCGTGGCAGTTCACCTGCTGAGGCAAGCTCCACTTCAACACCAGGAGATCGTTTTGGAGGAAAGAGGGTGGATGCTTGAGGTTCTCTCCCATGAGTTTTCCATGAGCCGTGTGTACGGGGGGAAAAAAGGGATGCACAGGCTTTGTGCCGGCCTCTTCACACCGAGGGGAATTTTTTGAGAAAGCATTTTGCCAGAGACACATCACTCAGACTGGCTATTTGCTTCTGTCCTTTGATAACACTCAGCGTAATGGATGAAAAACTAGGAATCGTTTTGACTAAAAAACAACACAAACAAACATTCTCCACAGACAACTTGCACACCGACTTCCTAAAAAAGTAAGAATGATAAAAAAAAAAAAGAAACCGTTTTCCAAGCAAACCCTTCCATCATTTAAACCTTCCTCCTTCAGCAAAACACGTTCCACCTAGAAACACATCCCAGAGCTTTGCTATGAACAGCCACTCGGTTTCTGCATGAGCAGAAACAAACCGTTCCGTTCAAAATTTATGTAAATAGAGTTAAATTGTAGGTAACCACTTCCATGTTTCCTATGCCCCCAATTCGTTATTTTTTGACAACTTTTCAATCAGTTGGGAAGTATGACCAGCTGCAAACAGCAAAGACGGAAGTGAAACACTAGGGTTTAACGGGGTGTTCTATCTAGCGCGGGTTAATAATTCTTCTTTTCCCTGTTTTGGTTAAATGAACATTCTCTTACCATTTGTCTGGTTTGTCCGTGGTTAGGCAGACCTAACAAACAGGAAAGAGAATAGAGCTGGTAAGACCATTGCTTTTCCAAGACAGAAAAAAGTACAAAATCAAAACACACGCAGCTATGATGGCAACTGTGCTGTTTTGCGACAACCAGAGGCGTCTGCCAAACTGACTCCTCCCCTCCTGGGCAGGTAACTGAGAAAAGGGCTTCCTTAACAACACGGTTGGAAGAGCAGAGCCCCCACCTTAAAAACACATTCCATTTGCTCAGTCTTTTCTCTGTTTACTCACACCTTTCTCCAAACTACCGCTAAAAGTACACCTCCTCGTTCAGATCTGAGGTTTTCCTCAAGTCTTGGGGAAAAACCTGGCAGTCTGTCGGAGTTTTGGAAGAATTTACTGACATCAAGGAGGAGAAAGAGGAAGGCATTATACACTGTCAAGACAGCAACAAATAAAATCTTTCCTATCATCCCTGAATCCCCAGGGAACGCTTCAGCTCAGACGTTAAGCTACAAGCTGTTAGCAAACAGATTGTATTTGCTGAACCTACCACCAGTAAATACTTCCACAGGCGTTGCTCCGGCAGTCCCAGAGCGACTCCAGCTACCACACAAAGCCCTTCCCCATGACACAAACGGCTCCGTAAGGCACCGAGCACTGTGGCTTGACCTTACTGGCTTTTTTGGCTGTCCTATCACATACCCTATCGTGCTGCCACCGCGTAGGTACTCAACTGCGCTTGACATGCACGGGACCCTGCGGGACACACACCCTTGGGATACGAGGGGATGATGTGTGGCTAGAAGGCAGCAGGGTATGGCATGGAAGGGACTGGGAGGCCTCTCTGTTAGCATCGTTTAGTTTTCCAAGATGCATGCTCCCAGAAAACACCGTGTCACCGACAGCAGTGCACCAAACCATCTCTGTCAGCCCTTTCTGGATGAGAACCAAGGTATCAGTGCATCAAGTCCCACAGGTACTACAGGACAGGCATCAGCAAGTGCTGCTGCCGGCTGCGGAAGTTTCCAGTAGGAACTCTGCGCTCACACCTACAGCAGGCTTCCCAGCTTGCCATTTCCCATTGCTAGCCAGTTAAGCTGTGATGAAATGGCAAAGCTCTTTAGAGAATCCAGCAAAATGAACAGCTCGTGGTCCGAACTCCAACCGATTCCTCCAGGTTCTCCTTGGTAAAACCGACCACCGTGTTTCTTGGCGTGCTTGCTGCCAGCACACGTGGCACGGTAACGTACCGGGAGGAAGGCGGAACAGGGGACGTTTTCCGAGCACCGAGCATCACAACACTGCATTCAAATGAACAGCTCCTATCAAATGTATTTCCCCTTCTGTACAGACGTTTGAAGCAGCTAACAGCGTACATAAAGACACGTACTTTCACTTTTCACAGCGTTTTTGTGCCTAAGTATCCGCAGAGATGATGAAGTAGCTGCCAAAAAGACTTCCATCAAATCTGCAGAACAGATGTGCCAGGCACCAAGCAAGACGACCAGTAACAACCTTTGGATGTTGACAAAGGCAATAGAGGCGCGAGATAATCGCCCCTTTTTACAGGGGAGCAGCAGTCCAGCCCAACACAGCTGGGAGCAGCTGTCCGAGACGGATGGACAGAGCTCCGCGGGCGCTGGGGGACAGTGCAGCCAGCAGGATGCAGCCTGAACCTGCTGGTTTCAGAGCTAAGCTCCAGCACCGGGCTTTTCTTCCCCCTTCCGTAACAGAATGATAGCATTTTCTCCATTCACAGGAGCCGGGAGAGATGTACATCAACTGATGTTATTCCCTGGCTTGAAGCCACCCGTTTCATTTTAGCCACCCTCCAGCTCAGCTCTGCTCTTGTACTAACAACATCCGTGGTGCCAGAAGAGACCGGCCCGCGGGAGCAGCTGCGATGGCTGTTGCTTGGCCGTACAGCAGACAGTAAGCAATGCTATTCCCAAGCACCAGAACTCACCCAGAACACTCCACGCTGAGATGCTGAGTCCGATACAAACGGAGCAAAGGCTGAGCAGAATTGCTACTTGCTCTGAGCCTCAAAGCTTCAGAGCCCTCAAACCGCAAAGCAGCTTCGCCAACAGGGACACACATCACCCCTGAGCTGGAGTTTTCTAGGATACAGCTGCTCGTGACAACGTTTTGCTCCAGTAAAAGAAGACACAGAACAAAGTTACGGTTCCAACACGTTTGTGATCGCAGTAATCAATTAGCTTATTAATCTTTGCTATCTGTGACTTTTCCCATTAGTCACACTTGGACAGCTGGAGTTCGAAAGAAGGAAAGCAGACACTAAAAAAGACTAGCTTCAGTTTGCAGTAAGAATCACACTAAAAGTACGTGCAGCCGAAGCACCGTTACTGAACCAGCAGCTTCTACCCACCACAGTCACCCCAGAGGTACAGAGAGAGAGCCTCACATCTGTAACCCGCTGCACAACAGCCGTCAAGTCAACAGGGTGCATCTGTACTGGAAACAATGGATTCTCACCCAAAAGTAGCTTCTGCGAGACAGACACCTCCACGAACTACACTAAGGTGCCGTCTCTGGGTAAGGAGCGGCGCAGACGGGTAACTCACCGCACGAACCTGGGTCCTCCCCGAGCTCCTTGCTCCGTCTTCACAGATGGAGCTTTGAGAGACATGCATCCACAAGCAGTTAAAAAAGTAGGACAGCTCAAGCATATGAACCAGGAGCAAAATCCAACAAGGTTCTGGCAGCTCCTCTACTGGAAAAAGCTGTCTTGAACTGCATTTTATGGAGGGATGTCTAGAGAAACCAGAGGCTGAGAAGTGTGAATATTCCTTCTGACAGTATCTAAGGTCCAACTGCTTGAATTTACATACCTCGCATGAGAAACAACACTGAACTCCCTCAAATAAGGAAAAAAACCCCAAACAAATAAGGTGGTGAGCGAACCTTTAACCCACAAAGTGTAAAGGTCTGTGATGATGACTCTAAGCAGATCTTCCACTCTCCTGCAGCCCAAAAAAACAGAAATATACTTTGGAAACTCAAGATTAAATGTGGTTTGGAAAACGCCAAAACCCTACAAAAAGTCTTCCCATTCAATTCCTCCTGCCAAAGTCTACACGGAAACAGAGAGGAAGTCCCAGAGGATAAAACGCAGACAAGGTAAACTGGAGGTATATCTGCAGATAAGCACAGATGTCCCTTGCCACAGATGGTTCTCCAGCGTTACTGAAATGGCAATAAACCAACTAATCGCAGTCCTGAGACTGGCACCCTCAAAGCACGCCTCCACTCCCCACAACTCGGGGAACAAAGACCTCAGGGCTGTTCCTCAAGCAGAAGCACAATTACAGAGATTTTGGCTCAAAACCAGGCACAGCAGGTTACTATGCCCTAATAATCCTCTCATTCTTCAGCTACCAAAGCTGTGGATGAATACGTTTTCCCACAAAAAACCAAGGCAGGTGGGGAAGGACTATCACAAACAGCAAATCCAAGTCTGTTACTACCGTTACTTTGCAGCTTGGGGATGGGGGAACCACCTCTCAGTCAACAAACCTGTTCCTTTTCCAACAGACTCATATCATCTGAGCCTAATGCCTTCAGTCTCGTTAAATTTAAAATGAGAGAACACCCCGACTTCCTGCTGCAACTGGAGCACCAGCCCAAGAGCATGCTGCTGGAGAAGGGAATAGTTGGCAGCTGACAAGTGGAGTGGGGGAATCTAATTTCCCAACGGGAAGCAAACCAGCACACCCAGTCCCACTGGAAGCCCGGGAGTAGACTCACACTCCTTGCTCGTGTTGTCCCATTCCCCGCCAGTCCAGCGAGACGTCCTCAGCCCCCCGAGGGAGCGTTCAGAAATTGCTCCCACCGCCCAAACCCAGCCTGCTTTTCTGCCCGCTCCCCACAGCACACAACTGACGCCTGGAGAAGCACTGGAGGGCAGGGGTATTTCCATGAAGTTACGACAGCATGCGTTGGGAAGCTGCAGAACAAGCGCCAACCATGGCCATTTTTCTACCTGGGGCAGAAATGGTTTTCCAAGCCTGAACATCCGAACTACTGCCTGTGCCTTCGGTAGTTTGGCACAAGAAGTCTGCACAGAGCTGATGCCAGCGACCCGGAGGAAGGGCAGCCCAGCTTCCAGGCACTGAGCATAACTTGGAGTTGTTAAATTTATATTCACTCGAATTTACTAACTCTCCAGCTTACCCACCACACACAAAACTATGGATCCTTCATCTCATGTTAACATAGGACATCTTTTCTTTCCCTTTTTTTTTTTTTTTCTTTTTCAACCAATCAGGACATTAAGCAGCGAGTCACAGATGGTATTTCAGTTGTAACCTCCATTTACCAAGGAGAAATATCATGCAGATCATGCAATATGCAGTAACATTCATAAGCACGTCTTCAGTCACAACCAACATGGAGAATTTAACACACACTTTCACAACCAGCAAGTTTACTCCACTAAAATAAGATGGCTTTCAAAAATCCATACACTCTTCATATGCATTTTCCTTTTCCCAAAGTCAGCTCCTCCTGGGATTCCATTCTTCCCAGCAGTAACAAAAACATCAACAGTACCACACTGGTGAGCAAGCTAGAAAAATAACATAAAGAATGCATGCATGAATGAGGCTTGACGAACAAGAATTTCCCTTCCAAGTTACTGAAGTCGTCTCCGTGTGCTGAGATACACACGCAGCCAGATTTTGCAGCAGGCTAGAAGAATGTTTTAGTACCCCTCTCTCTGAAACTGCCAAGAGCGTGTGACCACTATGAGCAGACTGAGTGTCCACCTTCTGACAATCAAAGGCTATAAACTTTCACTAATGCAAGTGCAACGAGCAGAAAACAAGAGCATAAATTGTACCAAGCACCACCCTAGACTAATATTTGCCCAAAATGCTGTTGTACATAAGAACAATGTTAAAATGGCAATTTACTTACCCAAGTAAGTTCCTACCAAGATTGGCAAAGGAAAAGGAAAAAAAAGATTTAAGGTTAAAAAAAGGGAGAGATTCACACAGTTCAGAATACAGTAG